CATTTTGCATCAAATGAGATATTTCATTTGAGGAGAAATAAACAGCTTTTTCTTGATTCAAAAATGCATTTTCAGTTGAACTGAAAGAACCCTCAGCTGGACCCAAGTAGCTATTGCATGTTAGAGCCATATAAAAATCACTCTGAGAATATGTCTGATTTTCTTTTTAGACTCTTTCATATTCTATTCATTTAAAAATTGCAGGATGGAACATTACAGTTACGATTCTAAAGTAAACAGGCAAATATATAAGATGAGCCTTCAATGCAATCAGTAAAATAGACACTTTGGTCCATGAATATGTTAAGGTTAGGAATGGAATGATCCTGCATCATCAAAGACCTAATTATTGGGCAGACTAAACATTTCAGGAACCAGACTGTGCTCTGTTGCATTGCTAGATTTTAAAATTAATTCAATAGATTTAATTTTTACAGAAGGATAACATTTAACGCAACTTACGTTGCTGTCTTCTAGGGCTGTGTGAAGCTTTGGGTAGTGATTCAATTTGAAGGAGATTCGGCCCGATTTGGTGGCCAAATCTCCAAATCTGAAATGAATCAGGGGACCAATTGAAAGGTTCAAATTGATTCAAAGCTCTCCAAATCTTTGGAAAAGATTTGGAGAGCTTTGATGATTCAGGCAGTCCTTGGTGGCTGCAGCAGGAAGCTGCAGCCAACTCCAAGCTGGTAAGTAGGGGGTGTGGGAGGGGGGCCTGGAGGAGGGGACCATGGGGGGACCTCTGCCAGCCCCCCTGATCCCCCCACTCCCCCAGCCACACCCCTATGGCTGCCCTACCCTCCCCAGCTCAGTACTTTGAAAAAAAAAACCCACCCACACTGCATGGGAGGCTCTGCCACGGATGCATTCACACATGCAGGTATGTGCACTTGCAGCAACTCAAATAGCAGAAACACAAATTTGTGACATAGATTTGTGCCTCAGCATACATGCCTGACCATGTATTTTGGTGTGGGTCAAGTTGTGCCACGTGGGGCAAACTGAGCCTATCCAGCTCTTCCCAGATCTGTAGCCAGGGGGAGTTGAAGGCTGGATCCAGCACCTGTGCTGGCCCCAGAAGTATAAAAAGCTGCCTTGGTGAGCAGCTCAGGGCTACTTGCTCTCAGGAGGTTCTGAGGCCTGACCAGTTGACATATAGGGACACTAGTACCCCATGCCAACTGAACTGCTGCAGCAGCACTGACCTAGAGTGGCCCCTGCACTCTCTACCCACTGCAGCAATCTGGCAGCAGGAGCTGCTGCCTGGCTGTGACCTGTTGCTACCTGTGATAGCATCCACCCCCATGGACATGCATCCCCATGTCTGCATACCTGCCAGACCTGGATGGGAACTGCAGAGCCAACTGGGCTGTGGCATAGGCACTGTAGCAGAGCCATCTACACCTCTAGGCCAGCTGCTAGTGGGCTATGGCTGCACAGTTGGCCTTCCTGCAGTACTGCTGCTATGTGTGCCCCCGCACTGCCATCTGGGCAGCTATTGCCTGGAAGATGTGCTCAATGTGGTAGCCTGCTTTGAACTGTCAAAGCATGTCCTCCTGACCCCAAATGGCCAGGAGGTCAGCCACCTTGTCTGCCCTCCAGCTGGGTCCCTGGTGCCAACCCTGGGCAGGCTCCTCTGCCTGGGTCCTGCCACTTACCTCACTAGCAGGAATCCTGGTGTTCCCTGTATAAAAATTGCAAATTCTCTGATAAAAAAAATCCCATATTCACTCTTTAAAATACCCAAAAATGTGTTTTCTTCCATGATTAAAACAAAACATCACTATATATAGAGAGAAAGAGAGAGACAGAGACAGACAGAGAGAGATCGATCACTTGGGCACTGTTTTATTGATATATTTACAATTTTAAAGCAATTTGGAAGCCTACCAGTGCCTCAATCATCATAATAAAATAAATTCTAAGTATGTATATGCTTTGGTGTTTGCTTTTTTTTTATCATAGAAAAATCAGAGCTCCCCCTGACCCCTTTGCTAGGCAGGATGTGAAGACAGCTGCCCCTGCAGCTACAGCTCCTGCCAGCAGGTCTCATCTTGTCTGGCAGCTGGGTACACAGGGTGAGAGATGTGGGGGGGATACGGGGTTTAGAGGAGGGAGGTGACAAGGGTGTGGCAGGGCTGCAGGGATGTGTGTGGGTTGTGGGGGTCTGTGGGGGTGTGTGGGGGTCTAGGTATAGGGGAGATGTGACATTTGTTGGTGGGTGTGTCAGGGGTTGGAGGGATGTGTTGGGGGTGCAAGGGGATATGAGGAATATGTGGGGTGTGTAGGTGGGTGTGGGGGTGATGTGGGGTATGGGGGGTTATGGGCTGGGTGTGGAGTTTGTTGTGGGGCTTGAGGGGGGGTTGCCACCCCCCACCCCCCTGTGATGCACAGCCACCAGCACTGGCAGCAGAAACCAGCTGGGCTGTGCCTGCTGCAGCACAGCCCTGTGGGGCACAGCACTGCCTGACCCATGGGCCTGATCTGGCTCAGCCCAGCCTGCCTCACTAGCATGGGTGGTGGCAGGACCCATGCCAGTCCTGTCCAAAAGTGCACTAGCAGGGAAGGCTGGGCTGGGCCAGGTCAGGCCCACAGGTCAGGTGGCACTGCACCCCATGGGGCTGTGCTGCAGTGGGCATGGCCTAGCTGGATGCTGCTGCCAGTGCCCAGGGCTATACATCACAGGGAGTGGGGAGCCAGGTATGTGGAAGCCATCCCTCAAGCCTCCCAACAAACCCCACACCCACCCACACACCCCACATCTCCCCCATCCCCCACACCCACCCACATACCCACAAACCCCTGTAAACTGTACAGTCCGTCTCCACCCTCACACTTACCAGGGACAGCACCTGAGTCTGAGTCGTGCTCAAGCCTTGTTCCATTCCTGTTTGCCCCAGAATGCTGAGGCAGTGTGCTGGGGCAGCAGGGGCACTACAGAGATACTCTGGCTGGATGCCAGAGCGTCTCTCTGGAGGACTCAGCCTCTGGTTACCTCAGGGTACACTGCAGGAACATGCCCTGCTCTGATTTTTTTCCACTGGTTATTTTTTGATACCTGAATTTCCAGCTATCAAATTTAGAGCCTGTGCTGCAAATATACAGCATGGGGAACATTTTTTTGTTCCTAGTGTGCCTCCTGCAGGCACGTGCACGCTTGTCTGGATGCACCCTGTGTGTCTCCAGGTCATATCTGCTTTTTTAATAAAAAGGACTCTGTTGTCAGCAGTTCAGAAGCCAGGAAAGTTGTATCAAGGACAATGACCTAAGCAAGAGTGTATTATACCTCATCAAACACATTTGTCCAAACAAACACTCTGATTAAAATTTATCATATGTGACCTTCCTGCTTTTAATATAGTCATAACTGAATTTCAAGATCCCAAGCTAAATTTGCTTTACAGTGCTGGCAGTCAGAATCTTTGACTGAGCAAATCTATGCTAGAATTCACTCAGAGAAACTATTAGTAGACACTTGATTGCCATCTGAAAAATTACCTTTCTAACCGCTACATGCACTTAAGCATGCTATTTGACAAAAGTAATATGGATTTGGGGAGGTGGGGAGGGGCTGGGGGGGAGGGGGTTTGCTAGCTCCTACTGAGACAACAATCTACTGATACTGGATCAAGAACTGTCATAATAAAGATGGACACTTGAACCTTTTGGCAGAACCCATACATACCTGTCTTCATAATGTCATGTGTATGGAAGCTCTATAGCAGTGGTGGACATCCTTTTTGGAAAGTGTGCTACAAATTAAGCCCTGCCCTCTTACCATTGCCATTCTGCTCCCCACCTACTACATGCCAAATGCAGAGGCTGCGTATGTCATTTGTGGCACACATGCAGTGGGTTAATCCCTCATGCTCTATGGCTTCCATTGCTAGAAATAATCTGTTATACATTAAACATCAAAAATTAAATATGATTCTTTGAGTAGCCACTGCTCTCATTAAATTCCAAATGGCATTCTTGCCACCACTGTCACTAAAACCACATCGCATATAACACTCTGGCAGAAATGCCAAAATACCAGCATTTCACATTAAGTTGTAGCTACCTGTAATAATTCACTTTGTAAATATAAGGAAGTGTTTTGGCTAGGTCTTAAAAAAAAAAGGTACCTGAAGCTATGGGAAATGTTTTACTTTTGTTGCTTTAACCCCTTGAGTTCTTCTTGTCATTTAATTTCAATGGGCATATCTACATAGTCATTAATGCACAGTAACTACTTGCTTAATGAAGTACTAACTAAATGCGCAGTAACTACAATTACTGCGCAGTAGCACTGGCACTTGTTATTTTAGTGATGGTTACTGCGCAGTAGTGTATTAGTACGGTTTTTGCCCAGCACACTTCTGCCTGTTATTTGTCTACTGCACATTAAGTGTCTCTTGTAGACACACTGAGACTGAATTACAAATCCTCAAACTGGATTTTATAGAGGCAACAACTGCAGATCCTGAAGTTAGTGTTATTGTTGGATTCAGCTGTGATACTTACCCTCTATATATGCTCTTGCTTCTCTTTTGATCACCTCTTTAAAGCAAAAAGCTTTTTGCTACTGCCAGACTGCTTGATACTTCATTCTCTTATGTCTGGCTGATAACCTGACTGCTGCTCAAACTATGTATTTCCTGCTTCACAGTCAGAAAGCATCCCTGACCAAGAAAGTAATTTTTGCTATCTAGCAGCACAAAATCCAGACACTTGCTTCTGATGAATCGTCTAAAACGGTCCATTGATTTCTATTTTCTGATACCTTTGTTCACTGCCAAGCCCTTCCCCTGTTCCCCCTTCCTCCCATAAGTAGTTGCAAGTGATTTCCAATTCTAACCTGAAATGAGTGAATGCAGGAAGAAAAGACATTCTGGCTGCAGACTGTCATCCTAACCAAGTGCTGTTCTTTTAACTGTAACTTGCAGTCTTAGAGGTTAAAAGGAAAGTATAAAGAGACACAAGCAGTCAGCCAATGTTTATAGGAAAAGTTATCTTTAGTTCTGGAATCAGTCTGGAACCAGCAGCAGTTTGGCAACTCCTGTATCAGCCTCTCTATCAGTAAAATAGGGAGGACTTTAGTTACCAACCTTCAAGTTATCTTTGTATAACACATACAGATCTTTGATAAGTTGCTGAACAAATGCCAAGCATCTTTAATTACGTATCCTACTATCCATTGTTTGGACTTTTGGTTTAAAACTATTCTTCTGTAACAATTCTGTAATATATTCCAATAACACTTATGAAATACCACTGAAGCGTTATGAAAGTTTATTCAAGAATCACTTCCACGGTATTGCTCTTTACCAGGGCTGTAGCTGCCTCCATAGTTACAGTTGCTATCCAGATGTGACTAGCTAAGTAACTATGCAGATGTGATTAACATTTTTTATAAAGTTCAGTTCCTGGCTTCAGCAAGCGATATTAATTAGCAATAGAATTATTGCTACCAGACAGCGTAATTAACAACTTACTTTTACACCAGGAAACTAGTTATAAAATGTTTTAAGTATACCTTAATATATAGGATCATGTCGTGTCTCTAACGCCTTTCCTTTTTTTGGTCCATAGCACCTAGAAGTAAATAAGAGGAAAATAAATCTAAGCTACAGATGTCACTGACTACAGAAACCTGCGGTACAACTGAAAAGATGTTAGGAATATAGACTTCTCCCAAAGAACTCAAGACTCCTTCCAAAATAAGTATAGCATTCAGTGCTGTTGGACATTGGAAACCACTGATTGATAGGCAGTGTAGAGGCAAGGTAAGGAATGGGAAGCTGGTGAGAACAAAGGATCTGGAAAGAGAAAGAGGAGGTCTGGCTATGATCAGAAAGGTGAGTGTTGAGCATCATTGCAAAAGTGAATTGTAAGGCAGGATTACCAGTAAATCAGTGAGTGTTTCCATGAACAAGATATAATCTCTACTTCCAAACATTGTTCCATGTCATGAATATTCAGTTGCATAGAGTGTTAGTATTATTGGGTTGTGCTTAATGTAAGTTGTTAGTATGTAGGGGCATGATCCTGTAAAGTGCTGAGCACTCCGTCTGGAAAAGTACTTGTTTTAAATTCTGAAGTCAATAGTACTTTTCATGGCTTAAATATACTGCTGGATAAAGGCACCTTTTAAGACTGAACTCTGATTCAACATCTTTGCAAATGTGTTACTCATTACTGACAGATAACATCATAGTACTACTGCACACTGTGGGCAAGATCCTAATCCCCACTCCAGGATCTTTACCCTCTAAAAGTGGTAGAAACAGCATAAAATCTAGTTCCAGCCACTGGAGAATTGGGGAGCATCAATGCGGAAGATGGATGTAAAATGGTCTACTGAGAACCTAGTATAAAGGTGTGCTCAATGGCATGGAGTTGAGTTTCCAGGCCTAGTGTAGAGGAAGGCTCAGACTGTAAAATAGTTCATATGGCAGTCATGGGACTCCAGACACTTGCAGGTTGTCTAAATGACATCAGTTTCCAGAGCAATCCAAAAGGCTTAACAGCCTTGTAGCCTTCCCCCACTCCTCATGGCCTGCCTGTGCCATGTTGCACCCCTCACGTGTATAATGTAGTCAGTTAACTTGTGTCACTGCTAAATGGAACAGCAATCAGGGCTAAAGTTAAAATATGAACAGGGTCATCTATAGATAGTGTGACCATACATCCTGGATTGGCTAGGACAGTCCCAGATGCTGGTCTCAGTCAGCCAGTGAAAATTAGAACAAGTGTCCCAGGTGTGAAACACCAAGGCAGCACAGCAGGAGCTGTGAAATAGGAAGTGCTAGCAGATGGCAAAAATGCCCATTAATGCTAATTGTTTCTTCACAGATTATTGTTAACACCTATGAAGTAAAGAGCAATGGGTCATTAATGGGCCATTGACTGCCTGAAGCAGTGGGGTGAGTGGCAGGGGCAGTTAGTGTCCCAGATCTCATATTGTGCCGCATGGTCACCCTACCTATAGAACAGTATAGGGTGCATTTGGTATCTTCAGGCCTTGAATAGCATAGTGTTACAGCTCAGGATTAAGATATGGTACTAGGAAATGGCAGAGAAGATTGCAGGATTCATGCCTTTAGTCAGTTTGACTTGATTCCCAAGTTTTGTAAGAGTCCTTTAATTTCTGCTTTGAAAAAATAAACTTGGCATATTCCAAAGTCAAATATTTTCCTTCAAGTCTGAAGATTTTTACATTATATCATGTGTAGTGGTGTCAACAGAATCAATTTTTCATAGCCTACTTGCATTCTTCTCCAAATGGGAGAGACTTTCATGGACATTTGGATAACAGTTAAAATAAAATGAAACATGTTCTGCTTACTATAGGGCTTTATTCACCATGACAACCAATATCATTTTGTTCCATCGCACCAGAACTCTTCTAACATCTATTTGACATGACAAATCCCCAAATGAATTTGTTATAAATATATATATTTTTTAAATTGCATTTGGACACACAACACCCCCCCCCCCCCCCCCCCTGCAATTCATTGCTCCTTGTTTGCAAACACTCTTATAAAATACTTGGAATTGGGATATTATTCATAAGGGGCCAGCTTTGCAAAATAAGTATGTGGTATGCCACAAGACATAATGTTCAAGGAGGGACAGGGAAACTTACCAACTGCTCCCTGAAGGCCTGAACATTCATTTGTCAAATCCAGCACTTTCAGTGAGTCTTAGCATTCAGTGTCTTCAGCAGCTCCTATAAATTACAAAATGAGTGCACTCACAAATGCAGTGAGACACAGATGTTCTTGTTGCATGCCAGCATGGCAGTTATTATTCTATGGTAGTGTAAAGAAGTTCAGTAAAGGACCAGGCCACCCATGGGCTAGATGATGTACAAAAAACAACAAAAATTGTTCCTGTCTCAAACTAGTCCACTAAGAAGTAGAAAAAACCTCCTAGGTTTAACAACAAAAATCTATGCCAATAAAGTAATACTTTTGGACAAATTTTGATCCTTTCATTTTTAAGCAGCATTCTTGATTTGGAATGCAAGGCAATGACAGCAGGATATAAATCAATGGCAAATGATGGCTGGATGAAAAACATGCAAAGCATGTAAAATGTCATGGGTTTCATGGAGAACATTAATTATCAAATAAAGTTATGGTGGAGATTACCTGTACTTAGGACTTGCTTAGCAGGCCTTCATAGTCTATGGCCTGATGTATGCATGCGTGATACCTTGCAGAGCCTATTGAGTCTTAATGAATAGTTTCTGTCAAATGCCAACCCCTCCCCCCCCACAAACAAACCCCTTCAAATAGATTCCTTGGGTGCTTTGCTTTATAGGACAGATCAACGCTGAGGGAGTGTCTACATGCATGCTTTAATGTGCATAAAAACATCACTAAAAAAATCATGGAGCAGTTTTACATGTGCTTCCGACACAGCACCAGGTGCTTTTAATTAGCAAGCCGCACTAATTAAAAGTGCCTGGTGCTGCATTGGAAGCAGGTGCACCAGCACTGAGAAAATAGTGGCGGTGCACTTGGAACTAAAGCACATCAAACGTGTTTTAGTTCAAAGCTCACTGCCACCATTTTCTCAGCACTGAGGTGTGCTGCACTGATGATACACCATGTGTGAAGTTGCCAACACACATCAATTTACATGTCTGAGCAGACTTCGATGTGCTGGATTTCCAGCACATCGGAGCAGACTCCCCGCATGTGTGTAAGTGTCCATGTATTTTAGGTAATGCACATTATCATTTAAAAACCATGGGCATTTATACACATGTAGCTAGCCTGCCCCAACATGCTGGAAATCCAGTCCGTCAGAGCAGACTCAATTCATTGAGCATGTGAGTTGTCACACTCTGGCAGCCTCATATGTTACATGTGTCAGTGGTACAATGCACTTCCACACTGGAAAAATGGAAGCAGCATGCTTTGAACCAAAATACATTCAATGTGCTTTAGTTCAAAGTAGACCGCTGCCATTTTCTCAGTGTGGAGGCATACTGCACCTCTGATACACGGACACTTTTAATTAGTGCAGCTTGCTAATTAAAAGTGCCCAATGCTGTGTCAGGAGCATGTGTAAAAATGTTTCATGCTCTTTAGTTAGTACACATTAAAACAGAATAATGCACATTTTCCTAGTACCTCACAATGGAGATACTAGATTTAATGCACATTAACTAAAGCATGTTAATGCACATGTAGTCATGCCCTCTTAAGTCCTGAAGTTGGCTCATTTCTCTTGCCTTCTGTGGACACTTAGTATTGCAATGAGTTTTGGAAAATTGTAGGCAAAAGTGCCTATGAACTAGGCCTTGGCGAAGCGGAAATTATTTGCTTTGGATTCAGATTCGGTGATTCGGAGAGACAGTGATTCAAATCACTTTCCCAATTAAATTCAGCTTAATCTGAAGATATTTGATACCGAATCATACTGAGCCATAGACTATACAGTCAGGCTGTGCTGGCGGGAGCAGCCAGACAAACCCTGGCTTGAGCCAGCCGCCCTGGGAGAAGCCGCAGCTCGTCCAGCTGCTCCCCTGGCTGCCCCCCTGCCGGGGCGAGGCAGGCAGTGCTGGAAGATCGGGCAGTGCTGCAATGATCAGGGATCGAACAGGGGCTTCCCCCCAGCTCCTGGTTCGATCTCCCAGTTTGATCCCCCAGTTCCCCGATCATTTCCCCCAGCTCCCAAGCATTTTCCCCAGGTCCCGTGGCTTCTCCTGGGACTGTCAGCACTGCCTGCCTCACCCCAGCAGGGGAGGGGGAGCAGCCAGATGAGCCGCAGCTTCTCCCAGGGCTGCCAGCTCAAGCCGGGGCTTGTCCAGCTGCTCCCACCAGCACTGCCTAGTGCCGGCCTGTATAGTCTAAGGCTGAATCTCTGAATCGATTCAGAGGCTTCCAATTCCATCCAGAGAGATTAATGGGTCTCTCAATTTAATTTGGATTCGGAAATTTGGCTGCCAAATTGGGCCGAATGTCCTCTGAATTGAATCGGCTACTGAAGCTTCACACAGCCCTACTAAGCACCTTCATGTTCTTATACACACACACACACACACACACACACACACACACACACACTTATGTCCTGCAGATTGTACGTGCTGAGAATGTTTGTTTGTTCTAAGTTACTTTTAGGAAACATCAACTGAGCATGTTTCTGTGTCTGTTGTATAAGGAGGTAAATATTGCACCGGAAAAAAAAAAAGCAACACTTAACAGTTTTACTAATCCAATTACTAGATCATTCCCCTGAGAAAATAAGCTACATGCTCTTTTTTCAAACCTTGTTAATTATTCTTCCAAAAAAATATTTAGTTCGTTAACAGAAGTGGGATGGTGAATACATCCAGGTCTGGTAAACAATCCTATCTTAAAAGTGAAATCTGTGCAAATTACAAATCCTCTGAACTATTTAATACATATTAATTTTCTGGAGCCTTACTCTGAACCTAAAATTTTGGCATATTGTTTAAAAATATTGAAACTGAGAGGGCATTCTCAATCCCCAGTGAATAATACTGCTAATACCCTCTCACATCACCTTTTCAGTGCAGTTCAAAGTTCTTTGCAAAGAAGGTAATGCACATGTCCTCAGCCTGATGAAGTGATTGCTCTTGATTGTCTTGGAGTCCTTTAGGTTACCAGGCAGTGCATCTGCTAGTAAGTCTTTTGAAGCTGAGAGCCAATCAACTACCTTTCTCTCCCCACATAAACTTATGCTGCAGTAGGGAGAGCAGCACAAAGCTATTCTCTACTGGAATTGCCTTTTCCCTGTCTTTCTAAGAACATACAAAAGGAAGGTAGCCAGTTAAGGGACTGTAATGGCTTATCTGTTCTGGGCACCTTGAAGCCAATTATTAGGGGGATTGAGGGGGAGAGACATGACCTGTGACTCTTGTGACAAATCACAACCAAGCAATAATTTCAAAAAGTAATGTGAAAACTTGCTCAAAAGTTTATCAGGAAACAGCTCCAGATCTTCACTTTCCTGAATGTGAAGGCAGATAAATTACAATGAAAAAAACAAGTTGCTATGAGGAGCTCACTGAACTCTAATTTACAATAAGTGCCAAATTAACTCATGACTCCATTGATAACAGCAGTTACAAAGTAAAATTGTGTGACTGATGGTAAGTGTCTCTTCTTTTTTATTTATTTATTTTTGTTTAAATTATTAATGTGCATTATTTCATCCTTTAAGGTGTTATACTGGAGTTACTGCACAGTCATCAGTAAGCATTTATGTGGGATCACATGTTACCCTTCTGTTATCTCTTAGTAGCTCTGCAATTAACTTGTCTTGCCAACATACTCAGCATGCTAAAATATTAAATTGAACACACATTAAATTGAGCTCATAATACACCAATTTGCCAGTCTCCTGTTGCCTGGTTCAGCTTTCTAAATGCCTCCAGAATATCTGGATATCTAAACACCTGGTTAAAATAATTCCCTTTTTTAATTAAAAGTTTCTTGAAAATGGTGATTTTTTTTCAGTGCCATTTATAATGGAACTGGTCGCATCACAGGAATTCTGAATATTGTTTTCTATGGAAGAAAAAAAGAAAAGAAAATGTAGGAAGTGGGAGGGAATGGCTGACTTGTGAGGGCTCTCTAGGGTTCTTCTCATCTCACATGGCTTTTTCCAGCTGTTCCTGATAAATGAGAGCAGATTAGGGAGCTGCTTGTTTTAAAATCAAAAGCCTAAAAGGCACTGTGATTCCTGTAGGAATGCCAGACTCCTTGGTGTCTAGTAGGAAGCCCTGGCTCACAAACTAGGGTTGTCAAGTTTCCCAGGCTCCTTGCAGTGAAGCTAGGAGTTGGAGTTCTGGCTAGGGAGCTTGTATTGGTGTTTGTGGTTCTAGGATGCTTTGGATCCCATGGCAGGGCTGAAAAGGTCTGGTATTAGGTACCAGGCAAGCTAACTTGGTCAGCTGGCAAACTGGCAGGCATGGTAAACTTCCAGTTGAAACCTGCCAGTGTTTTCTTGAAAGATCCTCAAAACCAAGATGGTTCTATGAAACGCTGGTTTGAATTTCAGTTCTCAGATTAACACTTTTTTTTCTTAGAAAACTTGTGACCAGGTGTAGTACAAACTGGGTTTGTCTACATATGCAATTAGTGCTATATGGGTTTACTCTGCAGTAATTTACTGTGGAGTAAACCGGCCTTTGGCAGGAGTCTACATGTGCAGGCATTTGGGAGTAGATTTGCTGCTTATAGCAGTAGCCTGCTCCTGGCCTCCTCCAGCCCTGCCCTGCCCCCCTGCAGCTGCCGGGGGGAGCTGGAGGCTCCAGCCACAGTCTCCTATGGCCAGGAGCCCTTTTTAAAAGCCCACCCACATGCTGGTCCCTGGTCACCTGTGTTTCCAGCCTGGGAAAGGCTGCAGCATGCTGGCACAGCCCTCTCCGACTCTGTCACCAGAGCCTGTGCCCATTGCATGATGGTTGCTCCACCCACAGGCCCCTGGAGTGATGACCTGTGCCCTGGGCTCTTGTTCGCCATCCTGCTCACTGTGCTTCACTGCCACGGCAAACACCACCTGGCTCAGATCAATCTCAGCCCTGCCTGCTCCCCTGCATGATATAGTCATGTGCCCAGGCTTACCATGGTATCTGAGGCCCCCTCCAACTGTGCTGTTGCTGCCTGGACCCTGTGGTACTGCCCAGACACAGGCAGGGATGACAATGATGTGCACCTGAATGCCACCACCAGTGCCGC